CTCTGGCCCTATTCCTCTTCCTGCCAGGGTCATGAAGGACACTGCAGAAGGCAGGAGTTGCTTACCATGGATGTGGACAAATGTGACCACAAAGAAGGCAAATGTGACCACAGAGAGGGTTGATTCACCACAGGTCACCAGCCGGCCAGTACAGGACCCAGAGCCGAGGGTTCCTTCCCAGGCCCCACACTTAGGCCAGCACTGCCCTTTTCTAGCCTTGGAAAGAAGGCTCCAGGTTCTTCTCATGCAAAGAATGCTTTCAAGGTACTAGATGGAGTGCACATAGTATATCTCCTAAAAGCTCAATGGCTGTCCATTCAGTGACAGAGAAAATTACAGACTGCTAATTCAAAAAGATGCAAATCTGGGCTGGGAAGTTGGCTAAGTAGTAGAGCACTTGCCTTGCATGCATGAGGCCCTGGGTTCGATTCCTCAGCACCACATAAGCAGAAAAAAAAAAGCCAGAAGTGGCGCTGTGGCCCAAGTGGTAGAGTGCTAGCCTTGAGCTGAAGAGCTGAGGGACCAGAGTTCAGGCCCCACAACCGGACCAAAAAACAAAACAAAACAAAAAGATGCAAATCTGACTTGCTGCTCCCCACTGCCTAGCTGTGTGACTTTGAGAAAGACTGCACCTCTCTGAGTACCAGTCTCAGGGAATAACAGTAGCTACTTCCCAGAAGTAATGTGAATAGGAAGCTCTCTAAACTTAGTATACTGTCTGGCTCATAATAAATATGCAAGGGTATCAGCTATTGCTAATATCACTGTTATTGCTAAATGTAAAGATGCATTTTACAAACTGTAGAATGTTGCAGAAGGTAGCTAGGTGTTATGACTCTTCCTATTAAGTGCTGGAGATTTAGAAGGAGCATGCCTAGAAGGTGGGCGATGCAGAAATGTTTATAGGAGAATGTGACACCCAGTCAGCCTGGGCACACAGAATCCGGGTAAGAATAGGGGAGTACAGGGACAGTGATATACAGTCACACTTACATGTTTAGATGATAGTTAGCTCCAAGCTTGGGGCCATACAGTGGCTCTAGTGCGCAAGGACTTGAATGACACAACCAGGGGCCTGGCCTGGCTTGCCTCTTATGGAGGAAGTACAGGGAGCTACAAAGGCCTCCCTACTGCTCTCTAAAACCTGAATTCTGTCCCATCTGATCACTCACCCCTCTTCATCTCTCCCCTTGCTACTAACCTAACAAACCTAGCGCTGCTGTCACTGGCCTGAGTCTTCCCCCACGTCTATCATACCTTCCCATTTCCCCTGCCCCTGGTCCACTCTGTGTTGCGTGTTCACAGGGAAGTGCCTCTCTGCTAAGAACAATCAGGGCTGTGTGCTACACAGGTGGCCTTCTGGAGAAGTAGGTATTGCTAGGTTAATGATACAAAGGGTGGGGGCTGGGAAGGTGGCTCAGTGGTAGAGCGCTTGCCTTGCACACATGAGGCCCTGAGTTCAATCTCTCAGCACCACATAAGCAGAAAAAGCCGGGAGTGGTGCTGCGGCACAAGTGGTAGAGCACTAGCCTTGAGCTGAAGAGCTGAGGGACAGTGCCCAGGCCCAGAGTTCAGGCCCACGACTGACAAAAAAAAAAAGATACAAAGGGTGAAATCAGGCTTGGTGGGTTCACGTGTCTTGTCCCCAGTCTCCCAGGTGGTAGAAGCAGGACTCCGTCTCTTAGTCTACAGCCAGTTCCAGCCCAGAAACCACCCCCCCCCCACCAAGCCTTCTCATCACTCTAGTCCCTAAAGGTTTCCCCCACCACCCTCCTGTCCTGCATCTTCATCCTTACCTCCTCCCGCTCCCCTCCACCCCTCTTTGAAACAGATGATCACAACTTGAGTCTAGCTCAGCTACTTGGGCCTATTGTTGACTTGTGGGTCAATAACAGAAGAGATCCAGGTTAGCAATAGGTCACTCTCTCCCTGCCCTGTCCCCTCCTCTACACACACACTCTATATCCTAGACTAACCACATACAGGAGACATTCCACACCTCTACTGAGGGTCAGCAGCTCACCTGAACACAGCTATTTCCCTAGCCTGCCTCTCAGTGAGGGGAGCAATAAATTATTCAATGTACCTTGTGCCTAGGGAGGCCAGACAGTGGCTCAAAGGAATGCATACCAACTCTCCCCTCCATAGTACCTCCACAGAAAGCCACGAGGGATGTGTGATTGTCAGACTCCAGGAGTCCCTTGTGAGGGTCCCAAGCAGATGCTGTAAGATATGAGACTAAGGGAGGTGGCCCACGGAGTCTGACCCCCACATAAGCCTGAGCTCAGCAAATTCAGGTCTCCCAGCCCATCAATAGTAAGTAGTCTGCCTTCTCAGTCAAGTCTGAGAATTTCTCAGACTTCCTGGTCAAAACTCCTGCTTCCTTTTCTTCATAGGGAAGGAGATAGATATTTGGCCAGGCACGGTGTATCTGTATCTGTCTCCACCCCTCCTATAGTACTGGGGATCCAACCCAGGGTCTTACATATGCTAGGCAAGCCTACCACTGAGCTCCAGCTCATTATCTCATTTAGACCTTATCTGGGTAACTTCCAAGCCACCTGGTAGGCAGTTGGCACCCAAATAGTTGAAGAAACAAACTCAGAGATCCTGAGTAAGTAGTTTTTACCTGTGTGGTCTTCAATCTTCTATCAAAAAGCAAAACAAAACAAAAAAACAGACATTAAGAACAAGCCCAGCCAGGTGCTGATGGCTCACACCTGTAATCCTAGCTACTCAGGAGGCTGAGATCTGAGAATCAAGGTTCAAAGCCAATCCAGGCAAGAAAAGTCCATGAGATTTTATCTCCAATAAACCATGCAGAAAAAGTAGGAAGCGGCTGTGGCTCCTTACCGCTTTACTTGCCTTGAGCAAAAGAAACTCAGGGATAGGGCCTAGGCCCTGAGTTCAAGCCCTGGAATCAACAAAAAAGGAAAAGAAAAGAAAAGAAAAAAAAAAAGAACGCCGGGCGCCGGTGGCTCACGCCTGTAACCTTAGATATTCAGGAGGCTGAGATCTGAGGATCTCAGTTCAAAGCCAGCCCAGGCGGCAGGAAAGTCCGTGAGACTCTTATCTCCAATAAACCACTAGAAAACCAGGAGTGGTGCTGTGGCTCAAGTGGTAGAGCACTCACCTTGAGCTGAAGAGCTGAGGGACAACGCCCAGGCCCAGAGTTCAAGCCCCACAACCAACAAAAAAAAAAAAAAGAAAAGAAAAAAGAACAAGCCCATTCTTGGCAAATGCCAAGAAAATTCCTTCTGATAGTTTGCTGATAGGAAAGCCTCACTATCTGGGTAGGTAAAACAAGGCAGGCTGCCTTGACCCCCCCACTTTCCAAGTGATATATCCAAGAGATACCAGGAGACTACCCCCATCCTGGCTTTGCCTCTCTCCAGGTTTCAGACCCTTCCTGCCATACCATGAAATAAGATCACAGGTGTGAAATTAGTTCATCAAAGAGGGGCTTTGTTGAGATGCAAGGATTATTGTAAGGATTTAACTCTGCAGACAGAGGCAGAGAAGGGGGAATCCCAAGCCCCTTAGTCACCTCCTGGGCTCCTCCAACCCCACCAACCCCAGAGACAAGCTTGCAGTCTGCACTCCTCTGCTCCACCTCCTAGGGGTTTTCCAAGGTGATTTCCCTTTGACTTCAGGGATCTGGCTCAGCAAGGGTTAACAAGTCCCCAGTCAAGGCCACAGAGCCCAGACCAAGGCCATATGTCCTTCCCCCACCCCCCACCCAAACAAATGCCCACAGAATCCATGCCAGCCTCTTTCATAACACCTCAGAGGGCAGGAGAAGGAACCCCTGCCTGGGAATTAAGACACCTGGCACTGCCCCCACCCCTGGCAGCCCCAGTCTTAAGACCTGGAATCAACCCTCCCACCCCTCCAGGACTAGAGGGATCTTGCAGGTTCCCCTGTCCAAGAGAGATTGAGGTCAGGCCTTTAATCTGGGCCAAAGGCTATGGGGTTGGAGGTGTGTCTCAGGCTCTGGTACTAATGACACACACTCTCAGCATACATGGTCACTTGACCTCATTAGGGACAGGGAAAAATCTCAGCCTTGTACCCAGAGGATGAAAATAGAGGGGAATGGACACTTTGACGGCTGTTGGGAAAGTTTTTGCAAGGCTACTTTTGACTCAATTACTTAGTGGCTTTAGAACCTGGGGCAATTGCCACCCTCAGGGAGCAGTCCTCAGTTTCCCCATTAGTTGTATTTAGGAGGTAAGCCAGGGTGAGTGCTGAGGGGCCACATCTCCTCCAACTTCTGGAGGGCACCAGCTGGGGACCCCCACTGTTAAGTTCCCTAACAATGAGCAGCATCTCAGGGATTCCAGTTTGTCTTGGTGACCCTGAAGTCTGGTGCCAACAGGGACAGGGGGTAGTCGCTCCCCATCCTGAGCCCCAGGGAGAGAAACTTTGAACTGGGAAGCTTCTCATCTCTGCCCTCAACTCTGGATCACCTTCTTTTGGGGGGTTGGGGGTGGGGGAGGGGAGGTGAAGAGCCCAAGGAGTGAAAAGCAGGGGGAAGACACCTCCTCAGCCTCAAGATCAGTGTTTGGACCCAGTAGCCCCACCTTGTCACTCTCAAGCAGTTTACCCACTTCCTTTCTTCTCCCTCCCAGGTTAGGACGGCACTCTTTCCCTCTTTATCCTCTCCAGCCTGATCTCCAAGAGGAAAAGGGAGCAGCATCCCCTCAGCCCGGTTAAGCCTCAGTTTCCCCAGCGGCCAGCGCCAATAACAATACACACCACCTTCTACCTCAGGAGGTATCCTAAGCTTTAAATGAGGGACTATTTGTGCAAGGGTGGGGCACGGACCAGCACACAATGGGCGCTCAAGGAGTGCTCTTCCCCCCTTCTTCCCCCTGGTTCGCGCTCTCTCCGAGACAGTTTCAGCCCCTCTCAAGGACCCCTCCACGCCCTGGGGCCCTGGGCCGGCCGGGGCCCTGTCACGCTGGGTCCCGCTCCCGCCGCGCATCCGGGGCTCTCACCTGCAGCCTCTGCCCTCGCCGGCCACGGGGAAGAAGAGTCCCCGCGTCCTCTCCGGGGCAAGCGCTGAGTCCTCAGCTTAGGGCGGAGGAAGGTGTCGGCTTCGGCCGGCAGATCGGCGCCGTGGCTCGCTCTGGCAGCCCCGATCGCCCGGAGACCCTCTCACGGGGCAATGGACCCGGCGTGGGGCTTCCCCGGCGCTCGCTCGGTTTCAAGTTCCGAGCAGTTCGGTCCGAGGCCGCCGAAGGTTCGGTTCTCGTGAAGCCCGAGGCGGGGGGGGGGGGGGGGACGTCCGGGCTGCTCTGCCCTCGGGGCCCGGGGCCACCTTGCGCTGACTCCCGGGGCGGACGGCACACAGACAGAAAGGCTGGGAACGAACCTGCACCGCCGGCGGGGCCAGGGACGTCCAGCCCCGGCGCACCGGGTCAAGACTCGAGCGTCTCGACAGTCCGCTCCGGACCGCGGGGTTGGGAGAGTCCGGGCACGGGACCGGAGCCGGGACGGGCAGGGCAGGGCAGGCGCCGGCGGGCAGGCGCGGCGGCTGGAGCCCCGCGGTGAAGTCTTCCCGGGTCGGGACGCGGTTCGCTCTGCCAGAGCGCGGCGGCGGGCTCCAGAGCTCCCGGCCGCAGCTCCACTTCCTCCTCTTCCCGGCTCAGGCTCGCGGCGTTCAGCGCCGCGCCGCAGCCGCTGCCACCCTCGCCGCTGTCATCCTCGCCGCCCACCCCCGCCGGAGCCGCGGCCGAAAGCCCGCCGAGCCCAGCCGAGGTGAGCCGAGCGAGCGCCGCCCCACGCCCAAGCGCCGGGGAGCTCGGCCACGCCCACGGAGGCGGAACCGTCGGAAACCACGCCCCCCGAGGCTTCGGACAAGGGCGGGGCGCACGCCTGCTCTCTATCGTGGGGCCCCCCGCCCCCAGCCGTCGGGCAGTAGGAGCCAATCAGAGAGTGGATAGAGGGCGGAGCTCTGCGGAACGTGGACCTTACCTCGGACCGGGCGGGGTAGAGCCTAGAGGTCCGGCTGGACAGAAGACAATAGGCGAGCTGGGGGTTCTTAAAGATCTGAGCTCCAGAAGAGACATCAAAGGGATCCGGCTGGAAGGGCTGGGTTGGCCGGGATTCAGGCGTGAGGCCTGTGGTGGGCCTGGGCGCGGCAGGGTAGAGGCAAAGTGGGTCCTCGGCACGGTGCAGCCCCCATGATGATGCCTAGTTGCCCTCTTCTCTCTCCTCCCCTCCTTCCAGGGCTCAGTGCGCAGACGTGAGTTGAGAGCTAGGAAATGTTCAGATTTTAGGAAGCGGTGAAAAATAAGTTTTTGAAAATAAAAGAGAGGACCTCTCTTCCACACTTCCCTTTTCCTAGCGTCCGTCGCTAAGCAGAAGCAGGGTAGTTTCAAAAAGATGAAATCGAGAGCCGAGGTATCTGAGGACAGCACACCACGAATCGTGATGTGTCTGCGGGCTGTGGGCTCTCCCCACGCCCACACCCGCGCCTTCGTGTGGGAGCTGTTTCTTCTTCCTCTCCCTCTCTCTCCCCTGCGCCCTGTGCAGGGCCAGGCACTCAGCAGACACTGGTGAGGCTTGATGTATGAATGAATTTTCAGTGGGTGGGCAATGTAAAAGCCACTAATTGGCCTGGGAAGCTAGGGGAATTGGAACCGCTCAGTACAGCTCCTCTGTAAGCCTCACTCCAGTCCCATTATAATGATGAGGGGGTCCAAGCACAGAGGAGCCATGTGCCAGTCCCTGATCCTACGGCTGGCCCAAGATTCTACCCATCAATCACTATCGAATTCCCAGACTTTGTATGACTTTGAAAGGTTGTTGTACCTCTCTGAACCTCTGGTTCTCATCAATGAAAAAATAAAATAAAATACCATGATACTGTGGCTTAGCAGAGGGGACTGGACAGACAGCCGGCATCTGATGATGGAGGAACAGATAAAAATAAGGACTTGGAATCAGGGAAACACCTCTGGGGACCCTTGGCCTATTCTAGTCAGCAGAGATTATCCTGAGACAATGATGGGCAGGCCAGAGGCATTAGCTAGGCTAAGAAGGAATGAACTATGATCCAGACAAAACCCTGCCAGTACGGGAGAGCTTTGCTCAATAGAGAAACCCAGAAAAGTGCAAGATGCCTGGAGTGACCAGAGAGGAAGCAGCAGACTCTGTTGGAAAATCTAGAGAATCAGAAGGGCCAGCTAGGAAGGAGTTCAGACTTTTTTCAAAGACCCCACACTCTACTGTAGTAGGCTTAAGATTCCCAGCCCAGCAAGATGAGTCTCAAGCTTTGAGTAGCCCTGACTTTGGACTCACAGCTTGTCAGAAGGGATCCCTTGGAAGTTTTAAAGCCACAAGTTGATGTGGGAAAGATGCAGTTTTGCACAAAAGCAAGTAACATAAACACATATAGACCAAGAGGCACAGGCTACGGGCGAGGCCTGCCAAAGACTAGGGGCTTGTGGGACCTGGCCTACAGGCTGCTGCTCCCTTTATTAGAGTCCACAAGGCAATCTGAAGGCCTGTTGTGAAGAACAAGTAAGAAGTTGGCACTGGTGGCTCATGCCTGTAATCCTAGCTACAGGCTGAGACCTAAGGATTGTGATTCAAAGGCAACCCAGACAGGAAAGTACATGAAATTCATCTCCAACAACAAAAAAAAAAAGCCAGAAGTAGAGCTGTGGTGCAAGTGGTAGAATGCCAGCCTTGAGCAAAAAAAAAAAAAAGCTCAGGGACAGCACCCAGACCCTTAATTCAAGCTCCAACACTGGCACAGGAAAGCAAGCAAGGAAGGAAGGAAGGAAAAGGAGAAAGGAGAAGATGGTTGGGGCTGAATTCCAGACTGTAGGGTGGTTGAAAGGTCATCTCAGCTAGGCCCAGGAACTGGGAACTAGAGGTTGGCTCCTGGCATCTGTATTGCAGGGACCTGAGCCTGGAAGGCAGCAATTTTGCCTGGAATAAACTTGGTAAGGGTCCTCAGAACCTCCTCCATCCAAGCTGGCAGCATGATTAAGCCATATGTCCCTAGCTTGGCATTCCAGCCCCTCCATTATCACCTCTATCAACTTGCCTATCAACAGGCAGGATGTGATCCGTCTCCACGAAGATTCTCCATGTGGCTTCTCCTGCTGTCTCCCTGAGCCCATTTCCAACCCTCTTCTTTCCTGAACAGCTTCCCTGCTTCCCCAAAGGCAAGAGCCTTGAAACCCAATGCTCACTTCTTTCTTTGCTGCCATAGCTCACAGCTAGGTACAGAGACTGCACGCTGAGCAGGTGCTCAAAAAACAATTGTTGAACATTTCTTCTCAAGACTAATGCCTTCACCTCCAAGAAGCCTTCTGAAATAATACCTCTCTCCACGTGTGCACAAGTGCATGCACACCTGCACGCACGCACACACACACACACACACACACACACCAGCCACCACCAGACAGCAGGCCTTTGATCTGGTTCCCTTGGCTGGAAGGTTCTATAATTATACATGTCTATGTCTAGTCTCCCCCACCCCACACTGGTTGGGAACCCCTCTGTGGCAGTGTACCCCACCCATCGTCCTCAGCCTAGAGATGGCAAGTTTAGGGAGATAAATGAAGCAGGTTCTCAGAGCAAAGTTGTCTGGCTGTGTCTGCTGGGAGGGGCATCTCAGTGACTGTGCATTCAGATGAACAAAATGTCAAAGAAAGAAAAGGAGCATTTCAGAACAGACCCTCGGTGACCCCTGAGGTCCACCCCAGGTCATCAGGAGGTGATCAGCACACGGGTCCCAAACACCCACATTTACCCTTGGGCTGTTCCTCCAGAGGAGCAGGCTCTTGGAAACTGAGGTAGCTGGTGGGTTTGGCTTTTTGTATGTGTGTGACCACAGAGGGTTTCAGTGTGACAGGATCAGAGCCTAGGGCAGTGACAAGAGCTGGGATGACTGGAAACTCATGAGCCTGGAGGCTGATGGTAAACACTTAGGCTCTTCTGTGAGCCCCACTGCTCCTGAGAAGTTTCTGCGTCCTCTGTGCCCTAGCCAGTGGGGGGTTCATGCAGAGGCTTCTGGCCCAATGTGAGCACTGGCCCTCCCTTCTCACAGATAGACATTCACCTTCAGGCCACCGGTGACCTGTCATGAAAAAGGCCATCTAGCTAGGTGCTGGTGACTCCTACCTGTAATCCTAGTGACTCAGGAGGCTGAGATCTGAGGATCACAGCTCAAAGCCAGCCCAGGCAGAAAAATCCATGAGACTCTATCTCCAAATAATCAGCAAAAAGCCGATGAGGATTAAAGGAGGTGGAATGTTTAGTCAGTGAGGCCTGAAGACCTGGAATGTTGGGGCAGACCAGTCAAAGACCAATGTCAATTCTATCTTATGGAGGGAGAAGGTTGGGCTGTGCATACTGGGAGATGCGTGGGGGCAGATGTCACACACATCAGGTGTCATGCTAAGGGCAAAGGGCAGAGGGTATCCTGGAGGGTTTAGGTAAGGAGAATGAGGTTAGGCCAGGAATGGCCTGGCTGCTCTTTGGAGGGGAGACCAAGGCAGGAAGACAGATTGGGGCTGCTTTAAGAGTTCAGATGAAAGCCAGACACTGGTGGCTCATGCCTGTAATCCTAGCTACTCAAGTGGCTGAGATCTGAGGATCTCAGATTGAAGCCCGCCAGGCAGGAAAGCTCATGAGACATCTCCAATTAACTACCAAAATAACAAATAAAAAGCCAGAAGTAAAGTGAAGCTGTGGCGAAAGTGGTAGTTCACTAGCCTTGAGAAAAAGAAAAAAAAAAGCTGAAAAACAGCATCCAGGCCGTGAGTTCAAGCCCCAGGATGGGAAAAAAAAAAAAAAGTTCAGATGAGGATATGAATGGACCTAAGTCCTGGTTGTGTGTTGGGTGGCTGAGATCATGGATGACTGTGGGCCAGAGGTGGGTGGAGTGAGAGAAGAGGAGCAGGACAACTCTTGGTGACCAGGGCAGCTGACAAAGGGCTGCAGGTTAGGCCAGCATGGGAAGAGGAGTCAGAGGCAAAGGCGTTGGCAGAACATGGAAGACTTTAAGCTGGAAGCTGGTAGAATGAGAGCGCAGGGTCAGAAGGCTGACCTGGCAGAGGAGAGGCAGCACTTCTGGGTAGGGACTGAGGTTCTCAGAGGGAACAGGGACTGGTGAGGAAAATCTGTGTGGCCCCCTCTGACTTGATAGAAATATTGGAGGTGGCTTTGGGAAAGGTCTGTGTTAGTTAATAAAGGACGGTAACTAGCCCCCTCTTCTCATTATGAATGTCTGACCATTCTTTTTTTTTTTTGGTCCGGTCGTGGGGCCTGAACTCTGGGCCTGGGTGCTGTCCCTCAGCTCTTCAGCTCAAGGCTAGCACTCTACCACTTGAGCCACAGTGCCACTTCCAGCTTTTTTCCTTTTTGCTTATGTGGTGCTGAGGAATCGAACCCAGGGCCTCAGGCATGCAAGGCAAGCGCTCTACCACTGAGCTACCTTCCCAGCCCTGTCTGACCATTCTTAATGGTCAAGAATATCTTCTGTATCTCTGTCTCTGTGGTACTGAGGTTTGAAGTCAGGGCCTTGTGCTTGCTAGGCAGGTATTCTACCAGTTGAGCCACACCCCCAGCCAGGTTGAAAGGTTGGAAACCCTCAATTTCTCTCTGTGGATCCTCTAGCCTTCTTTTCCACTGCTGCCCAGTAGGAATAATGGTGATCATATTTCCCAGCTGCATTTTTACCA